GAAGATCAGAGAGCTGAAGTTACCTGGGGAGATCCACACAGTGGTACCCAACAGTAGGAAATAGTGTCCATTCTAGCCTTTTTCCTAAAGAGTTTTTAAAAATGTTATGCATCTTTGTGTGTGCCTATGTGAATTTATACACACCACATACACGCAGGTACTCACAGAGGCCAGAGAGCATCTGATCTCCAGGTCGTTGTAAATGACCCAGCGTGAGTGCTATTCACTGAACTTGGTTCCTCTACAAGAGCAGTAAGTGCTCTGAACCACCAGCCATCTCTAACTTATTTTTATTTTATGTCTGTGAGACAGGGTCTCACTGTGTAGCCCAGGCTGGCCTCGAACTCACTGTGTAGCCCAGGCTGGCCTCCAACACGCAGAGATCCATCTGCCTCTGCCTGCCGAGTGCTGGGATTAAAGGTGTGTGCTACGACACCCACCAGTAAATTTCATTTTTAAAATTTATCAGTGTGTGTGTGTGTGTGTGTGTGTGTGTGTGTGTGTGTGTGTGTGTGTGCGTGCGTGTGCGGCGCGCGCCAGGGGGAGGGGTGTTGTACACATTCTCTCAGACACATAACAGAGATCAAAGAACAACTTTGTAGAATTGGTTCTCCATCCACGTCAGTTCAGTGATAGAACCCAGGTCATCAGGCTTCTGAGACAAGTATTTTACCTGCCGAGCCATCTCTCTGCCCCCCTTTGTTGAATAAAAGTTGTTAATGATACTAGTTCAAGTGGATGGGAAAATAGATTTGAAAAAATTAACCTGAGTTAGAAGAGAGATCTAAATATAAAAAATGAAATATTAAAGCGTTATCTCAAACAATTCAAACATTTCTGAACTAAGCAAAGTAGACTTCTAAAGAATATAAAATAAGGACCAACCAATAAAGGAAAATTGAGCAATTGACCTTGATTAAAATAAATTCAGGCCAAGCAGTGGTGGTGGCGCACGCCTTTAATCCCAGCACTTGGGAGGCAGGGGCAGGCAGATCTCTGTGAGTTCAAGGCCAGCCTGGTCTACAGAGTGAGTTCCAGGACATCCAGAGCTACACAAAGAAACCCTGTCTCGAACAAACAAGCAAATCCATCAGTCAGTCAGTCAGTTCAGAAGATGAGAGTTTTGCCAGGGGTGGGAGTAGGCGTGCAGGAGGCAGAAGGCAGCCCAGCACGGCACCCGCCCGGTGAAGGGCAGAGGTCTGCAGCACAGGGCCCTGAGCACACGGAGAGTGCCTGCGGATCCGTGCGCATGGTCAGCCCCGCGGTGGAGTAGGCAAAGGGCTTCAGTAGGAGCTGTCCAAAGAGCTGTGCAGTGACCGGGAACACAGCAACGCGATAGCAATGCGGTTCTGCTCTGTCATCTCAACATACTACACCAAGAAGCTAGCACATGTGCATGACAGGACCCTGCAGCTGGGAAGAGAGTGTGCAGTTGGCTGCGGAGGGGGGGTGCCCACTTTGTGAGGAGTCTTCTAGCTGTATGCTTGGAAATACTGTTGGCAGTGCTCTCTAAAAACTTCAGAATGTAAAGTATTACGTGTATACAGTCCCCATGATGCAGCATTCCCTCTCCTGGGTGTGAACCCAGTACATTCCAGATGACATGTAACAAGTGTGTTTATGGCAGCAGTCTTCAGAATGCCCCAGACAGGAAACAAAGTGTCCATTGAGGAGGGTGGATAGGTACGCTGTGACGTAATGTCTTCAGTGCACTCTTGGTGGCAGTGCTGTTGTGAAGAAAAAGGCAGTATGCATATGAGTGGACGTCTTCTATGTCCTGTGTCACACATGACGTCGGACTGCTCAGAGCGTCATCTCTCAGGCTCCCATGCTGTTGCTGTGACAGATGAGGGTGGCTCAGCTCAGCACTTCAGTAGCACGGCTGTCAAGCACCAGAAAGAACCACTCCACTACAGCCAACACAGATCAGTCTCAGCCGGAGAAACCGCGAGTCTGTTCTAGTCCAGCCAAACCAAGTTCAGGGCAACCAAACTCACTAGTGTGGTGTTGGAAGTTAGGGTTTTGGAGGATGCTGTCTGCGCGGTAGGAGAGTTCGGGGGTTCTTAATACTGGCATTACGTGAGTCTCATAGTGCTTATAATCACTACTCGTTTTGTGAAAAGTCGTTCAACTGTACACTTGGAATTTGGGCAACTTTCTCTCTGTATAGTAAACTTGACACTTGGAGTAGAATTGATTGTTCACCTATTTAAACACAGGCCTTCTGTCTTCATGAAGATAATTAGTGGAGGAAGTATATGAAAGTTTAGTTAAATATGTGCAACACCAGATTATTCCACAAAAGAAACTTTAACAAGACACAATGATACCAATCAGGTAACCAAAAAAGGAGCTTCCTGGAGGTCGGAAAGGAATTGACGGCGGAAAGTAGAGGCAGGACGGCCCATGTCAGAAGTTGCTCCAAACAGGGACTCAGACTTAAGTAGATGCAAGGTCCAGGGGATATTGCAGACAGAAAGTACAGCTTGGGAGTAAGAGGTATGAAAGGAAGGGAATGTGCTGGAAAGTGCTGTTTGCAGTTGCAGATTGGGGAAAGACCACGTGGATAGTTTTGTAAGAGGCTTGTCATGATCACAATGAGCAGAGTTTGTTACCTCCAGAATAGAGGGCTGTCTGCTTTAAAAGGAAACAGTCTGAGTGTTGGGCTGCACACCTGTAATCTCTAGCAGTGAGCAGGAGCAATGCAGGGCGTGAGTTCAAGGACAGCCTGGTTTACATAGTAAGACCCTGTCACAATGAAGCAGGATCTGGAGATGGGGCTCAGTGGCTCAGGCAAGGCCCAGGGTGCTACCCAGTTTTCACAGCTGAGCAAGAAATCTTTTTTCAAGACAGTTTTCTCTGTGTAACAGCTCTGGCTGTCCTGGAACTCACTTTGAAGACCAGACTGGCTTTGAACACAGAAGAGATCCATCTGCCTCTGCTTCCAGAGTGCTGAGAATTAAAGGTGTGCGCTACCAACACCTGATATAAATATCTATTAATATATGTTAAATATACATATATTTAATGTATTTTTATTTATACATTTATTAATATATTAATAAATACATGTATTGTTTATTAATATATGTATTTTTATATATAACCTTATAAGAGATAATCTTATCAATGGTTAAGTAATAGTTTAGTTTGACGTAGGCTTCATATACTTTAGGGCAAGTAAGAGAACACTTGCTTATGAGAGAATTTTCACTCAAGAACTGAGGCCGGGTGGTGAATGCGACAGCCTTTGTTCCGGCCCTCCAGTTCATGGCCCTTGGTTCCCACTCGCCCTTTTGGAGAACTCTTACCATTGTTGGCTCCCTCCGCTCCCACAGTTGCTTCTTTAGCACTGATTCTGTCCTAGCACCCCATTTTCTTCCTCCCTCCCCCTCCCCTTCATCTTTTATACGGAGTGTTGCAGCCCTGTTATGCACACCATTTTCTATCAGCCTTGCAGAACCTCATGTTTGTGGGAAGAGACTGGAGATGAGAGGCATGTGACTGATGTGAGGTCATAACCTAGCCTCCTGCTTGACTCCCAAGTGTAACCCTGTCCCATTCTGTGACTGAGGCCTTCATCTGTCTCAAATCTATAAGTGATGTGTTTGTTTAAAGTATTCTCCAGCCTTGTTATAAGTAATAAAAGTGTGTCCTATTATCTGTTAGAGTCTGAGAGAGGAATCTTGAAAGACTGTGAATTACGTGTGTGTGTTTAATAAATGCACACGTATTTCACTTTATGTGAACTTATTTATATACTAAGAACCTTTTAAAATTATTAGTTCTCAAGTAGCTAAGAGACTTACTGTAACAAATCCAGACTATCATAGTTACCTCTTCTTTGCTGTGTCCTCTTGATTATGTATGGAGGACCTTGACGCAGGCGGTTAAATGCATTGCAGGTGTGCTGGGGACATGGTTTACTGCATAAAACGCTTGCTGTGCAGGCGTGAGGACCAGATTTCTGCTCTTCAGCACCATCATGAGAGCCAAGTGGGTGTGGCAGCCCGCCTGTAGTCTTCATGACCCAGTGGTAGAGACAAGCTCTCTGGATCAAGCTGACTCACTAGACTAGCCCTAAGTGAGTTAGAGATTCAATGAGAGACTGCCTCAGTAAATAAAGTATAGAGCAATAAAGGAAGACATCCAAAATTGACCACTGGCCTCTGCACACAAGTGTGCACACATGTAGACACACAGCACATATGCATGTACATTACACACATACACACACATACCAGAAAAGAAAAAGAAACTGTAATGGTCCACGACCTCATTAAAGATATGGAGGTAGCAGAGGTAAAACAAGTAATTATTCAGAACTTGGTTTATTTCTCATTGTCAGTCTCCTCTCTAGCTCTGTGTCTTTAATTCACTGACAAGAATAAGTATTGGGAAATTAAGGGGATACAGTTTTGATTGTTTGTGGTACTATGTGGGGCCTGAGGGGTTAAAAAGATGGAGAAAAAAGAAATGGGTGGCCATCCATGGTGGTATATACATATTGCTAGCACAGTACTCAGAGGTTCACAGGTCTATATAGCAAGACCCTATCTCAGAGTTGTTGTTGTACTCATGACTCTTGAAAGCTAAGAGATGAAACAGTCATTAAAAGTGGACAACCAGTTATAAAAGAACTGTCTCAATAGAGCTCACGTCTGTCTGAACTTTTGTAAGGTTGGTAAACTGGCATGGTCTACTCCAATGAACAGAAGACTAGACTATCTGAAAATGGAAATCCTTAAGTGGAATTGAGTTTTCAGAAACATAAAACAGGGTAGCTAGATCAACACCAACTGGCACCAGCCATTTCTGCAGGTGGTTGTGGCTATTAGTTCATGTGGAATGGCAATGATTGGCTTTGGAAGTTTTGGAATATCTTGCCATCTCCCTGTGTGGCAGAGGAATGTTTGGGGAACAGTGATGTGTTATTGCACCAGACTCCTTTGTTAAGGCTTTCAACCCCCAACTCTTCCTCTCCTCTTTCTCTACTACAGAGTGATTCTCATCAGTTCCGTGTCATGGCAGCTGTCCTTCGCCATTGTTTACTAATCGTAGGTCCAACTGAAGACAAAACAGAAGAGCTGCACAGGTGGGTGACCTCTGTGCTGACACCTCGGTGAAGCACACCATCCGTTCTTGTTATCTCTGTGTGTGTTGACACCTCGGTGAAGCACACCGTCCGTTCTTGTTATCTCTGTGTGTTTTGACACCTCGCTGAAGCACACCGTCCATTCTTGTTACCTCTGTGTGTGTTGACACCTCGGTGAAGCACACCGTCCGTTCTTGTTACCTCTGTGTGTGTTGACACCTCGGTGAAGCACACCATCCGTTCTTTTTACCTCTGTGTGTGTAGTTCTGGTGGTTGATACGTTCACAAGAAAGTGAACGGATTCTATTGAATCAGGGAGGCAGAAGCATGCCTCTGTGTGAAGTTTATGTACTGTTTCTGTGACTTTGTTATGTTGAACTCCAGTGAAGGACTTTGGCACTTGTATCCAACACTGAAGCCCAGAACAACAGCATCACAGTGACTGAGCAGTGTCTGGGTTCTGTTGTGTTGAGTGCTTTGTAGAGGTTAAGTTACCAGTGGTAGAGTGCTTGCCCACCATGTATGAGGCCCTCAGCAGTTGGCGGGGGGGGGGGGGGGGGGGGGGGGGGGGAGGTAACTTATTTTAATCATTACACCAACCTTTTGAGGTAGCTTTTTTTTTTTTTGCTTTTTTTTTTTTTGTTTTTCGAGACAGGATTTCTCTGTGTAGCTTTGAGCCTTTTCCTGGAACTCACTTGGTAGACCAGGCTGGCCTCGAACTCACAGAGATCTGCCTGGCTCTGCCTCCCGAGTGCTGGGATTAAAGGCGTGCGCCACCACCGCCTGGCCGCTTTTTTTTTTTCAAAAGATAAAAAACAACTGAGGTTTCCTTTTCATTACTACAACTTAACTAATATTTTCACTATTTCATTTAAAGATATTTAACAAGTATATTTTATACAGTAATTTAAATAAAAACAACAAAATAGGAATATATTCATAGTGTCTTTTTTTATGTTAGACAAGGCTGGGGAGGGTTGCCTGAGTTGGTAAAAGTGCTGCCATGTACTCGTGAAGGTCTGCGCTTGCATCCCCAGACCTCACACAAAAGCTGGATGCAGATTACAAAAGCGTTTGTAATCCCAGCGTAATCTCTTCCGGGGAGATGATAGGTGGAGACAGAGCTCATGGGCTAGCCAGCCTGGTGCATGCAGAGACCCAGTATCAGAACAAGGTGCAAGGCAGGGACTAAGTTGACCTGGGTTGACTTCTGACCTCCTCATGTGAGCAGCCACATTCACACACGACAGTGTGCACATACACCACACTTACACAGTGAAGTTTTATATGTATGTATGCATATATGTATGTATAAAATAAAAATAACTCCAATTATGTAACTTATCTGTTAGAGACATTAGGGGGTGTTGTTAGAGTTCATCATTCTCTGGGGGGACAGCTCAGTGGAGTGTTCGTCTGCTGTGCACAGGTCCCTGGGTTTAGTCTCCAGCCCCGAAGAATGAAAATTACCGTTCTCTGAGAACAGCTGGATGAGAGGTAACCAGTTTCCAGTGCTCTGACTTGCTGTAGCTTAGGTTTGTAGTAACAAGACGTTTGACTTTGTGATAAGACTGCTGGTGCTGTGTTCTGAAAGAATACGAAGGATGGCCAGCTGTAGAGGCACACGCCTTAATCCCTTCATTTGGGAGGCAGAGGCGGCAGCATCTCTGAGTTCAAGGCCAGCCTGGTCTTCAGAGTGAGTTCCAGGACAGCCAGGGCTACACAGAGAAACTCTGTCTTCACAACAACTCCATGTTAAATAATTGAGCTACAAAGAAAACTCTGCCATCAACTCAGCTTTATAAAGAACTTAGCCTGAGCTTCTTCTGTTAAGTTACCTTGTGGGCACTTAAAATTTTCCAGATAGAATTTAAATAAAAACTTTATGAAAACACAACCATAGAATAAATTACACACAATAACCCTCAGCCATTATTTTTCAATCAAATCTATATTATTTTAATTATGTGGAGTAGTATATTTTGTATCATGCTGAGTTTATAGATAATTTTTTATAAACTCTCTACCCTGTAGCCCGTCAGATGTTTTCTTCTTGATTGAGAAGTGTAACTTCGGAGGTGGGTGAGGTGGTGCACATCTGTAAAAGCAGCGTTCCAGAGGTGAGGGAGTCAGCCTGGGCTCTGTGCTGTGAGACCCTGACTCCAAAAACTGTGCAAATACTTCCATACCACAGATCAAACATTCCTTTAATTTTCTGAAGACGGTGCCCACATATCTGCCATAAGTCACATTCTAAATGACTGCATTAAGTGTTTTTGCTATTTATGGTTTTTTCCCCCCACAATCAAGAGACGCTAATAGTTCAACATTAAAATTAAAAGCGTTTTTGGCTAAAAAGCTCAGAAGTGAATTGATTGTTTTTAAAGAATCAGATACCCCAGGCTGAGGAGCACACAAGCTATAAAGAAGGAATTGTGGTGGGCACTGCTGTGCTAGCCACAGATAGTTCTGCAGGAGTCTCTGAAGAAAGGATTTCAGATCTTAGCACAGTGCTTGGTATGTTGTCAAGAGAGTGAAACTGCGGAGATTGTTCAGATCTTAAAAGGAATCAGATTCCTTCTCCTTCCTTTGGAGACTCACCCTTGTAAAACCCTTTTTCTTTATCTAAAAAGTTACTGCACTGTGAACATAAAGGGGCATCCCAGCGCCACAGTCAGGACTATGACATGTGAACATAAAGGGGCATCCCAGAGCCACAGTCAGGATTATGGGTATTTCTCAGAGGCTTTCCTGGGAGATTAAGGTTGCTGCTGACTTAGCAGTGCCCTCGAATGGCCTTGCCTGCCTTTTAATCAGAAGAAAGTGATTAGTATCAGTTTGGACAGTGATGACTCCAGGATAATCCACGTAGATGCTGAGAACTGCACCAGGCTCAGGAGCTCTTTGGAGAGGTGTTAAATCTGCTCCTGCAGTGTCCTGAACACAGCACCCTGTAAAACTACGGGTGCCCGCCCGGTGCAGGCTAGGTATTTAAGGTGATATTTAAATCACTTTTTATTCTTTTTAAATAATATTTTTATTAATTTGTTGAGAATTTCATACAATGTATTTTGATCATATTCACTCTGTCCCCATTATATTTCATTCTTTAAAAGTTATTTCCATTCTTTTACTCCTTTTCCCAGTGCTTTGGTGTTTTTAAGGAACACTGTAGTGACAGGTAACCCTCGATAGGGTAATATGTGGGTATGTGATGATTACACAAGAATCCGTGAGGCCTCCTGGCCTTGGCGCTCAGTGAGCTGCTAATAGCAGCTTCTTCTGCTGTCTCTTCTCTGCTGTAACAAGCGTATTGACTTTTAATGTAATACTCAGCCCAAAAGTTTGTAGATTGCTTCCTGAGCTTTCAATATCTTGTTTAGAAACTTGTTTTTGTGTTTATCCTTTGATCATATAAAGATATTTGTTTTCCGATGCTCTGAATTTTTTCCCGAAGCCAGAAATTCCATTCATATGAGATGATAAAGTGCTTTAGAAAAGAGAAAAAGAAAGAGCCTGGCAAATCTCTGGTCCATTTCTCTGTAAGTCATCATCATTGCCTTCTCAGAGACGTGCAGAGGATGGTATGCATGATGGCCGCGTCAGCTCAAAGGGCAGCGCAGCCTGACCTCCGTCTCCACCGCTCGGTTCTAAGTGTGTGCCTGTTTCTTGACTTTTGCGTGTTCCCAGCAGCTAGAATGTTAGCAGTATTGTCTACCTTCGTATTAATCAATGTCCTACTTCTATTCTGTCCTTACTGTTGGTTTGGAAGTATGTTCAGCACTCCTTCCCACAAATACATAGGCTCCCAAACTTGGATATTTATTATTTATTTTGGAAAGGAAATAGATAAGGACGGCCTCCATGCTGCTAGGGAGGGTGAGACTCAGACACAGGTTAGCTTGTTTGAGGCGCTCAGTTCCAGTTTCTTGTACACACTAAGCACATGTGCTCATCCATGTCTGGTCCATGTTGAATGAATGGTGTGTGGTGTATAAAATCCTCTTCTTTTGTTTGCATGTTAGATGTCCAGCTTAAGCTACCATTTATGGAAAAGGTCTTCCTTTCCCTGTTGATCTAGGCGTGTGTGTGTGTGTGTGTGTGTGTGTGTGTGTGTGTGTGTGTGTGTAGGGGGCAGGGAGAGAATATTTTATTTCTGGGTTCCTTATTCTTTCCCATTGATCTGAGTATCTTTAGGCCATTTATATACCTTTCTGCTTGAGGTAGTGTATTGTTTTCAAACCAGGAAGCGTGATCTTCCAGGATTATCAGGCTGTTCAGTCTCTTGACATTCCATGTGAGTTTAAAGATGACTTTTTATATTTCTCTAAAAACATCATTGAGATATTGGTAGGAATTATCTTGAATTTGGAATATTCAAATCCAAACAATATTGCTTCCTAATTATCATATGTATCATACTTTAAATATTTGAAAATGAGCTGATTTTATTTCCATTTGTTAGTGAGCACTTCACTATGTGTTAGGTACTAATTTGAGCTCTAGTGTTTAAAAAAAAAAAGATCAAAGCATATAGTCCATTCTCCGAGGCTCACCAATTAGTAGAAAAGTGTGTAAATGAGCCATCCGCTCCCCCTCCCCATGAGCACTGTTTCAGGCATCATCAAGCTCCTATGAGAGTACAGAGCACGGCACTTCTTTGGAGAAGTCAGAGAGGGAGGCACTTGCTGCTCTTATTAACTCTGGCCCCTTTAAACAACCTCTCTGTGAGTCATTCTCCATGGCCGGCTGAGTACTGCTCTAACGTGTCCAAAGGACGCCATGGTGCAGGCCCTGATGGGTCTGACACTAAATGGGGAGTCAAGACATGCATGTTATAAAAAGTTAAATGGCAATTCAAGGAGAGAATAGAAAGAGACCACAGGATACTTTTGAGTAGTGACCGAGTCCAGTAACAATCGCTAAAGGATAAGTCCACTGTGGTCTGGAGTGAGGGTGTTCCTCACAGGTCTGTCTCTGCCTGTTCTTCCCCACCTCCC